GGCTCTCCAGTTTTTTTAGCCAATCAGAGCCATAGGAATAAACTAGTGTGCGTTTTCCCGCGCTTGGCGCTAGTGAAATGTTGTTGCCTCGTACTCTGACTGGTCTATTCCGAGTGTAAGGTTATTTGTGTAACGTCCTACACGGACATTCTTATTGCCCATCAGGCAGTCCTCTCCATCGTGGGGTAGAAAGATTGCGTGACAAGCTGAAAGAGAGAAATCAGAAATCGCGACGATTTTCCGTTCCCGCAGACAAAGCAGTGCTCTCCAGAGTTAGATTCCCCCAGTTGTCAGTTCAAGGGTACATTCAGTCAAAACTTTACAGTTTTTGCAGGAAACACCTATCGTCACAGCTGTTTGTCGAATTAGTTGTTTTCCAGTAATTCATTTGTTATCCCGCACGACGTAAAGTAAAACATAAAGATAGCTGAAAAAGGGTAACTGATAGGATAAGATATTTTCCTTTTGCTTGGTCTTATCGCAAGTAGCCTGGATTATTATATAGGATTGGACTATTTTGAACACCGGAAGTGTGTAAAGCAAGGGAAAACATGTGCCTCACTTTTTTCTTTTGAGTAGTTAAACAGAACTTTCTAGAAGCTGCATTGCAAAGCAATAACACCGGACGTTATCGAATATTAGTTCGCTTGTTGAAAGTCTCATTGTCGACTTTATAGGAAAGCTGACAACATGTTTACTGCATGAATGGAACCTTTTACAACTCAGATTATTATCTAAAAGTGCCAAAAATAAACAGGTGTTTGAACCAATTCCTATTTTTAAAAAACCTTTGCCGTCAGATTAGAAGTTTCTGTTTTACTGGCTGGTGAGCTAAGAGCGCACACTTCGAACCAAACAGTAAAGCGGAAAAATATCCTCATAAGACAGACAGGTCCTACAGTAAACCACAATCTGGTAACACTTCTCCTAATAAATGTCGAACCTATCGCTGTTAAATGTTTTGTTTCTTTATTTCTTTTTTTTGTGCCTTGCTTGGAAAATAGCGTAGGCCAACTGACATAGAGCTGAAGCTAAAGAGGTTTCCAATGACATCTTATCCAATTTCGCCCGTCTCTGGAGGTGTGTTAAAATCGAGTACTTCAGCAACGGGAAAACAATTTGCGCGTTGTTAGTTTTCAAAATTTGTTATGTGTAACAAGTGCTTTCTCATGCTAGCTTTGCTGAGTAAAAAGAAAATTAATTGCATTTCTTTATACTCTCTAGAGTATGCTGTACTTTTGGAATTGAACCAAATGACTAGCTTATGTAGTAGAGAATAAAGGCTCCAGTTTTGAGTTAGCGGAAGACCTCAGGCAAATTGTTTATAGACTCGAAGACGTAAGTTCCCACATTTTCTCACAATGATCGTATGGAATGTTGCTGTACAACTGAGAGTTTTGTAACCTGTAAAGTCGCAACTTCTATGACTAGGTTCTTTTTTTCTCGCAACCTGTCGCAAATTGAGTTTAGGACTATACCACTTTCACTTGTGTTTCCGTCTCCAGGGATGCAGTCAGTGCTGTTCAACAGGGACTTGGTGACAGATTTTTAGGTAAGAGCTTAGCATGTGTCTACCATATCTCGAAACAAATTCTGATTGGTATGGGAAGTGGGATTTAACCCCACAAATACGACCACTGGCAGCCAATAAAAAACATTTTCACATTGACATTAACTTGCCCGCATAGTGTATTAGCTAAACAGCCGGGATTAAACGATGATATTGGCATATTCCTTTGAAAAAGAGTGGATGAAGAGTAAGAGGGTTAATCGTCATGTAGGCGTTGTTGGGAAGGTAATCCCTCACAAGTTATTTTTAGACACTCGAGCGTTGCTTGTATGTTTTCGCGGAGAAACCGCTTGGACTATCCACGTGAGTAAAATCTGCATGACCGGGATAGCGTTTTCTACTCCCTCTTGGGATTTCCTTAACCGACAGTGAGCTAAAAAACACTGGAGAGGGATTTCCTTTGGTATAAGACCATTATGAGAGATTAAGGGTGCTTACCATATGTCAGAATACACCTGTTGAGATGACTTTTCAGCAATGGTGGGGTTTTTCCAAAATCAACAACCCAACCGAATAAGATGGTGCTTACCACTTACAATTCGAATTACCGTAATTGTTTTTGGTTGATGAGAGACTGGAAACTGAAAATTTAGCAAATCGTAAGGAAATTTCCGCCCTTCCGTTCCGGACGGGAAAAGAATGTCAACCTCTGGAGGTAGTCGATAATTTTCGAACGGATTTTCTGGAAAATGACTATTCCATTTGACCTTCAACCAAAATTTCCGGATTTTTTGGCCAAGTGGTAAGAACCCTTACTCTCTTGCCCTTCATCCTCTTTCACTTTGAATAATTTCACGACAGGTGTAACTTAGTTCTGAATTCCTGACGACTTTTTTTCATAGTGCAGTGAACGCAACTGACACTTTCCTGGCTTTTTCTCAGGTTCAACTTTCCTTTCATCAGTGGAAAAGAAATTAGGAGGGGTGTTGCTGCTACGAGTGGAGGGAGGGGCTGAGGGTGCGAATGGTAGGTTTTCAAAACGTTGAAATGTTAGTGTTGCAGTTTGCCGTTATGACATGGTTGATGACGTGTTTTTCAGTTTGTGCAATCATAGTTAATAGAGGGGAATGGTTATGAGACCCGGCAAACATCAAAGGAGCAAACAAAGATGCCAAGATTTATGTTGGAAGGTCCACGACTGTGCACAATCTTTTGTTTTGTGTTCATACACTATGCATGATTTACGTAACCCAAACGTTTCAATTGGTTAGTTCCTCGGTCAGTAGTAAACAGCTATTGTGTTTTGTCCACGGTCAAGGCCAAAAAAGAGAACAAAAACTTTATTAACTATGGTGCAATATAGAAAGAAAGAGTGTATCAATTTAGAATATTGAAAGGCTGAGTAACCTATGATTAGGCGAATTTTCTCCGCTCTTATATCACGGCATTTTAGTAAATAAAACTGCGGAAATAAACTCTCCTGATCACAGGTTAATATATTGAAGTCTTGTGAAGTTTCGAGCCCGTACAGATTCACCCGTGTTCCTAGATATTTTATTTTGTCCTTAAAATTTAAATTACTCAGTTATGTAAATGTAGGTCGATTCCAGTTTGGGAACAAGACTTGTTGCAACTTCTTCCCATCTTTGCTCGATTCTACATGTTATTTCCTCACGGTGTAAAGATTGCTTGGCTGAGAACAGGAATTTGGTTACCAAACGTTTTTGTTTTACTGTAGACTGTACTGTTGATCTGGTCTGGGGTCACACCACACAGAGCATGTGCATTGGCTACATGGCAGAACAAGATGAAAAACCAAAGGTAAAAAATGAAACTTTATTCATTTCACCTGCCCTCTGCTCCTCGAAGACACAAATTAAAGAGTTAATGGGACTCACGGACATCAACTGAAAGTCAAACGTTGTCTTCGTTGGCGCGTTATATCGACTATGAAACAAAAGAACCCGGTACTGACCGTGGTTCACAATAATAGGTTCTCAGAGCGGTTTTCGATCGAGTATCGTAAAACCAACAAGTAAATGTTAAAAGTATTGTTAAAAAGACGCTACGCAGTTTCTTCAATACTATCGTAAAACCAAAACTAAACCAATTACTTGCCAGTTAGACTACTCAGCCAATCTTCAACCGTAGTAAAACGAAAACCTAAGTAATTGCCTGATTACTTTCGACACTCAATAGAAAACCGCTCTGAGATTTCCCGAAGTCACAACAGTTTCACTTTTATTAACACAAAGAAGCTCTGTTATTTAACTGATGGGTCCGATTCTGAAGCTGCGCTCCAAGAAATGTGATAGTCCAGCCGAACGACACAGTTTTCGTAGGTGCGAAACTAATATTTGGTTTCATTTGGATTTGACCCTACGTTGAAGCTCATCTAGTCACAAAATGACAGTCACATTTGTTTGATCCATATGGACCACCAAGCGCTTAGTTTTATGAGTATATTTAGTGGATAGCTGAGCACTCTGTCTAACAATTACATGTCCTTTCTTTGTATTGAAGGTGCGGTTGTCTCGCATAGAGAAAGGACAGCAAGATCCACTGTTAGTTGAGGGCACGGTCTACAGGTTACCTCATCGATGACGTTTGTGCTTCTAATCAAATGAAATTAGAAGTCGGGACATCTGATTGTTCATCTGCGAATGTTCTTTTATAAAGCACTTTGTTGCAAAGTAACATCGATCAAGAACGCCAAGTCGCTGGTGTTAAGCTTTCGCTCATTTTCCCCGTTTTCAAAGCCAAGCAAACTCGAACGTGTAACGCAACTCGTAATCGCCTTTCCGACCACTGGTCACGGGGTCTGGGTACGAGATTAAAACAAGCTCTCAAGGTTCGCTTGTTTCGTAAAGCTTACTCGGTAAGAACGAAGACAAGATTAGAAACAAAGGAGAATATTGGAAATTCGTTCTTTGGAGAGTTATTCTAAATCTAGGTAGAATACTCAATTTTATGTACAACATAATATCTGATATCAGGTGGTACAAATTGTAATTAGAGGTGTGAATTTTGACCATCAAATCGAAGTGAGTGGTTTTCTTGTCATGTCTATTTTATCACGCCATATTATTTTCGGCATGCGAATGGAAGTTTCAATTTTAATGCCGACTGCAGACAAACGACAGGAAAATAGTGAATATTTTCTATCCCAACAGATGAATTGTCTTAACTGGCCTCCAGTTTTTTGTTTTGTTTTGTTTTGTTTTGTTTTTTTTCATACGAGTAGTATGAGAGGCATCATATGAGGAATTACAATATAGCTGGTGGATGCCGATTTGTGTTTTTTCCAGCGAAAACACCACCTCTTGTTAGTTGTGAACATTCTCTCTTCCTCGCCCTATATACTAAACCAAACAGAAAATGGTGTTTCCATGTTTTCTACGAACATAATACATATTTGAGGTCTTGGAAAACTGCTAGACGAACCCTTGTTCCCCTTGTGCGTCCACTAACAGTTTTTATAGACCTTAAACGCGTATTATTCCTTAGGCAACACGGAACACCATCTATTATTTGGTGAGGATAATCTGATCATTTCCTTGACTCCTGTTACCCTTATGCTCACTAATTCAATATAAGAATAACAAGGTTATATCCTTCAAACCGTGGGAGCAGAAAAACAAGGCGAAAATACGTACCCCTGGGCGGGATATTGATTTTGAAAGAAAAAACGTGTAGTGGACTCAAGTCGAAATCAACTTCCCTTTCAATAACGGGCTTGTATCACGAGGGTCCCTCGGTGACGTACGACTACCACCATATAAAAATATACAATGTTAGCAAATGGAAAGCAAACTGAGGAGCATTTTTCGTTAGATATCGTCGTTGAAGAGAGGTGGCTGTCAGTGGAGGTTCAACTGAGTTTGTATTGAAGGCCAGTGCCACTGTTTGCTAGTTTCATCTTAATTTTGCAGCGGTTCAGAGTACTATAGTGACTGCATGTTCACCTCTACCTCGATTAGGATCACTACCTTGTTCGTGGTGGGGTGGCTTGTGTGTTCCAATGACTCCTAGAGCTACGTGGGCGGAGTCTTGTACTCCTGGTAGGGTCACCCATGCCGAACAGGTCGAAGGGCAGGAGCCAGACGAAGAGTGATCCCCTGGTCCTCCAGGTTGGGGGTTGGGCTGAGGGTTGATAACNGGAATGAAAGGTCTAATATCTTAAGCTTCATGGTTCCTCTAAGGTTCTCTCTCCGCTTCCTGTCTCTGATTCTGTCTTCTTTCTTCGATGCAATTGTTCCCTATGTGTGGCAAAAAAAAAAAAAAAAAAAAAACATATCACAGAAACCAGAAGGAGAGAGAATTTACTGCAACATCAAGGAGACGCTGTGGCCGTACTTCGTAAGAGGAAACCAATGACGCACGGGGACCAGACCCAACAGGACGTCCCCGGGCCGGCTAGCCCACTGCACCCTTCAAGCTGAAAGTTTGCAACTGGAATGATCGAACGCTTTACGGAAGTGGCAACATCGCACAGGCAGCAAGAGAGATGAAGAGGAAATGTATTTACATCGTGGGCATCAGCGAAAATTACTAGACGGGGCAAGGAGAAGTGCAACTTGCAGAAGGAGAAACCAAAGTTTAATCTGAAAGAGATGTTGACAACCCAGACAGACAGGGAGTAAGTATATTGATGTCAAAAAGTGCTGTTGGAGCTCTGATGGAGAACACCCTATCAGAGTAAGAATAACTCAAGCCACATACTATTCCAGATATATAAAACTTACAGTCATCCATGTATACGCACCTACAGACAATGCAGATGAACAAGCAAAGGAAGAATTATACACAAGATTGAGATTTTTTAGATGGTGGAAATAATCATTATGTGATTATAGTTACTGAGAAAGACTTTGTGAAATGTGTGATATGAATGAGCTAGTTATTAGAGGAACCCTGTTCCCGCACAAGACCATCCACAAAACAACATGGGTGTCGCCTGATGGACAGACCAGGAATCAGCTCGACCATGTCATCATCAACAAGCGATTTAGGAATTCAGTATTAACACAAGAGTCTACGGGTCTGTAGATATTGGAAGTGATCATTATCTTGTGGGTACGACGATCAAACTAAGGTTGAGGAAGTCACCGAAAGAAAAGGTCGAATGTAGAGTGAAGTATAAGACGACTAAGTTGGAAAATGAGCAGGTACTAAAGACTTTTAACAAACCGTACGTAATGGGTATCAGGCCCTAGAGAATTAAGAACCAGAAGTTGAAGAGGGAGTAGAGAGAGACTTTCGCTGATGAAGAAGGCATATATAGAAACAGCAGAAACAGTGTTGGGTAGGCCTTAAAAAAAAAGGATAATCCACGGATCAGCAAAGCAAAGCAAAGCAAAGCAAAGCAAAGCAAAGTAAAGTAAAGTGAAAGTTTATTTAAACTGACAGGGTAGCCTGTTCAGCTCAAAGGCTTTTATTCATAGGGGCCCTGTATAAATAACATTAGGTTAAAAATACAAATTTATGCACACATTAAAACTTTATAACTGTACGTTAAAAACTAAAGCTACATTAAAAAATCTAATTTCAATACTATAATACTAAGAGAAACCACTAAGAACTATTACGATAATAAAAACCGCAAACTTAAAAACGGCAAAGCCCCTGGGATTGATTCTATCACAGCTGAGTTGTTGAGAGCAAATACATTGATTGATGATAAAGATATGGAACCATGAAAGGGTCCCTGAAGCTTGGAAGCAGGTACTTATTGTTAAACTGGGAAAGAAAGGTCATCTAAGGGAATGCAAGAACTCAAGAGGATTAAGGTTGCTTTCTGTAGTAGAGAAGATACTAGGCAGGAATGTTATAGATCGAATAAGGGCAGAAGTTGATCGACGATTAAGAAAGGAACAAGCCGGTTATAGAGAGGGCAGGGGAACAACAGACCAGGTTTTCATTCTACAAAATATCATCGAGTAGACAAAAGAGTGGCAAGCTACGCTATATTTGAACTTTATGGCTTTTGAGAAGGTCTTTGATTCGATCCACAGCGAAAGTTTATGGGAGATCATGGGGAGGTATGACATTCCGGAGAAAATAATGAAAATGGTCAAAGTGTTTTACGATGGCTTTAGGTGAGCGGTGGTGGAAAAGGGGGAGATATATGAAGGATTCGAGATTCGACCCACAACTGAGTGAAGCAAGGGTGCAATATGTCTGGATTCTTGTTCTTGATCATAACGGATTGAGTGACGAGAAGAACAGTTGGAAATGGCGCGAATGGCATTAGATGGAGGTTTACATCCAAACTTGATGACTTAGATTTCGCAGATGATATAGCTCTAATTTCCTCTACCAAACATTAGATTCAAGAAAAAACTGAGCAACGAAGCTAGAAGAGGAAGCCAGCCGAGTGGGGCTCAAGGTCAATACAGTTAAGACAAAAGTGATGAGGATCAGTGCAAGAAACCAAGACAAGATTGTAATCAATTTAATGGTTATCGAGGGCGCTGATGAGTTTGTATACTTAGGAACGAACGTTTGTTAAAAAAAGAGGTGGCATGAAAGACCTTAAGAACCTACTATCCAAAGCAACACGTGCGTTTATCAGACTGAAGAACATATCGAGTTCCAATAGCATCTCAAGGGTAAGAAAGTTGAGACTGTATAAGGCACTGGTGCTGCCGGTATTGCTATACGAAAGCGAGACGTGGAAACTGAACAAGGGAGATGCAAAAAAAGCTCGTGGGAGGAAACAAGAACGATCGCAGCAGGCCCAATGTATCACGAAGTACGAGGAGGACAGGTGAAGGTGAAAGTGTGTTCAGCTCCAAATGACTCGTAGGTTGTGGAGAGCATTTGATCAACACTATTTGCAACTTTGGCTTTAACAAGATAAGTAGATTACTATTTCTTTTATTTTCAAACGAGAGAAAAAACGAGGGAAGACTGAGGCGAGGAAGCGCGAGACTTCTGGCCTCGGTCCCCCCGTTTTTTTTCTCTCTCTCTCTCTCTCGGCTGCCTGTTTTTTCGCTCGTCCCCAACTACCGAGAGCCAGTAACAGACTACTCTCATCTGTGTACTTTCAGTTATGAACCTTATCTCGAGTACGGTTTGTTTTGGAAAGTTCATGTGCAGCGAGCAGATTTTACTTCACTGTTGCCATGGTTTTAGTTCTTGACTCAACATCGAACGTGTTAATATAAAACCAAAGACTTCGCGCAGCAAAAGTTCCACGTGACTCGATCAAAAACATTCAATTTATAAAAAATGTCACCTGTCGGCCAACTTGGGTCTGTATAGAGAAATACCATACCCCAGCTTTTCAGTACAGTTCGTCGCCGTTACGGACCTTCCAGTCCAC